TATTGGTGCTCTTTCCCTAAATCAGTACTCCAAATTGCAGATATAGTTCATTCATTTATAAGCAACTGTACATAGTAATGAAATAGTATGTTGCCTGTTGAGGTCTCGACCATGTCAGACAACTGCTCCACCGACTGCAAGAACCCCAGATGAAAAATGCACAGGTTTTTTATACAGTGATTGGAAATAATACATCAGATAAAATGAGACCTTTGCTTGAAAATTTTGAATAGACAGCCAATCAAGGAACATAATTTACATTTTAGAAGAGCAAAAAAGTGAAATTGAAAACCTCCCAAAATCAAAAATGATCGCAAATGAATGAAACGAAGGATTTAATGAGGCAGCAGAGCACAAGAAAAGTTAATATAAGCAGAGAAAACATACCGCGAGGTATAGCCGCGCGGCTATATAGACTACTTCAATAGTCCAGCCGCGCGGCTATTCTGCAAGAATTTTCCCCCCCGTATAGCCCAGCGGCTATACTATTTAGTACGAACAAATTTAAAACCACCCCTGTATAGCCGACGGGCTATACTATTTAAATTTTTTTTAAAGACGTATAAAAAGTATGGCCGCTCGGCTACACTCTGAAAATAGAGTATTCCAACAGTATACCCGTCCGGCTATACGCTATAAAAAAGAATTTTTTTAAACGGTATAGCCGCCCGGCTATAATCTGTAAATAGAATATTTCAACAGTAGAGCCGGCGGCTATATTCTATAAATAGAATTTTTTTTTGCCCGGCTATACTCTGCAAATAGATAGAATATTTCAACAGTATAGCCGGGCGGCTATACGGTATAAATAGAATTTTTTCCCGCGGTATATGCGGGCGGCTATAGTATTTAAATTTTTTTTTTTAAAGACGCATGTTTTTTAAAAGTGTATAGCCGAACGGCTATACTCTGTAAATAGAGCATTTCAACAGTGAAACCGACGGCTGTACTCTATAAATAGAATCGTTTTCACAGTGTAGCCGTGCGGCTATACCCATGAACCTGAATTTATCTTGTTCAATTACTTTAATTAGTAGTTATGTTTTAATTATTATTTACTAAGTGAATAATTAGTATTCAAATATTTAAATCTATTTATTTATTATTCAATAATGTGAGTATTTTGTGTATAATACGTGAAATTTTTTGTGTTTTATTGAAATCTTTATAAATAAATAAAAACACATATATTAAACATGAAAAATACGTACATTTGTGTTATATACAATATTTCAGAATACACAGAAAATTAAGTTGAGTGGCTAGCTATCAAGATTTATAACGTTTTACGGTACTTTATCAACATAATTAACATCGACAGTACGCAACCCTTCGAGATATTACGTATTAATTAATTAATGCTTTGTTTCTTCGGGGACATCCCATAACAATAATGAATTAAAGCATGGATACTTACACAGCTAGCTATACACAATGCTGATATAACTTGTTTCTTTGTGAAATTTGGCGGCTCTCGCTCACCCGCTTCCTAATATCCGAGAGCTCTCTCCCTCTATAAATTCAGACTCAAGTCCCGACCATATACTAACTAACTTCCTTCCTTCTTTCCTTCCTACACAAGAACACAAACACAGAGACTCGTAGGAGAAATATTGAAGAAAGATATGGTGGCTAATAGCATGAATGTGAGCAATGTGCTGGTCCTTGTTATAGCAGCGGCAGTATTCACGCTACATGGAACAGAAGCTGCACAATACACAGTAGGTGACGAGCTCGGTTGGACCATTCCTCCGGGTGGCGCCGCCACTTACGCTTCATGGGCTGCCAAGCATAGTTTGGTAGTTTCTGATATTCTAAGTGAGCTATATTTCTGTGAAACTTTCCAAATAATAAATTAATTACTTTCTATCTAATTAATATTTGTATGCATTATTAATTCGCTAACCTAGATGCATATATGTTGTTTGTGCAGCATTTAACTTTGCGGTTGGAGAACAAGATTTGGCTTTAGTAACCAAGGAGGATTTTGATGCGTGCAACACATCCGACCCGTTGTTTGTGTTCCAAGATCCAGGAGACTTTATATTTGAAAGTGAGGGCATGTATTATTTGACCTGCACCTTCGCCGGCCATTGCGCCAAAGGCCAAAAGATTGCCCTCTACTTCGCTCCCTCAGGCGGATCTCCATCTCCAAGTCCCGCTGCAAGTCAAAGCCAAAGCCAAAGCCAAAGTGCTGGTGATGCTGCCACGGTCAAATTTGTGTCCAAGAAAGAGTATGGCTTCAAGAAATTATTGCCTGTAACGATGAAGTCCCTCTAAATATTCCTTGCTCGCTATATATAGCTTGCAAAGAAGAATACTAGTATATTGTCATCTTATGAATAACTAGAGGCACTTTGTGCTTAGTATGTGGTGTGATCCATATATGCCCCAATAATAAATTTTTTATTTATATTTAAGTCCAGTTTTTGTGATTATTTTCTTTGTGGAATGTAAACAAATTACAATTACACAGGATAGCTAGCTTCCTTAACTAGCTTGCAATTTCTGGCTGGGCTGATCAACAGCATGCTACCTCGGTCAAATTTGTGTCCGAAAAACAACACGGGCTCAAGAAATTACTGCCTGTAATGATGTAATTCCTTTGTTGCTAGCTTCGCCCTTGATTGATTGCCTCCTGTAGGCTATATGCCAAGAGGAGGAAAACTATATATATTTTCTTATGAATAACTAGAGGCACTATGTACTGTATGTGCATGTGGTGTGATCCATAAACCCAAATAATGAAATCATGATCCGAAACCCTATATATTATTTAGGGATTTGGCACTACGTATAGGACAAGAAGCATGACATCAAATTTTACAAAAATTATGGTCCTATGGAATGAAAATTAAAAGGTAAGATTAAGAAACAACGCAAAGCCAAACCTCTACAAGAAGATATTCATTTACATTAATTATATTACCTATAGATAGACTCAAAGCTAACATGTCCTGGTGGAGTGATTAGAATGATTATAGAATACTACAGTAGTATGGTTATATGGTACATCTTATACATATGTTATAATATATATAAGTAAATATTTATTGATACTATTCCCTAAAAGAGGGAAAAATAACCCTTGTCGTCCATTCATATTATAACTCTTCGCCTTGGTGAGCTTTAATGTGTGCCAAGGATTACTATTACTAATTTGTTAAGCTCAATTCATTTAATTTAATAACACGTAATATTTCTACATCCCCTGACCCAATTCAGACAAATTAGGATTACTCATTAATAGTTGATCGTGTTTGATTCAAAACAGCGGAAATTTTGTGGGCGGAAAGGTGCCAAGGGCATAGATGATAGATCATCAACCCATAAAGTCAACATGAACGAAAATTATTTGCATTAGCTTGTATACGTCTATTAATCTCTCATATAATATTGGTTTGGTTTGGACCCATATGCGAATACAAATGAGTCCAACTTTCACAAAAACAAGAGCAAGATAACTCAAAGCCAGCTTATTGCCACAAGATTAATGATGAATACGTACAAATTTATCAGTGCTGGTTGATTTTAGCTTCTGTCGGTGAGATTATTAGTGCGCTGGCTTACTAGAAACAATTATGAAGCGAGCTTTTCCTTTTAGGCAATCACGCAATGCACCCCAAGGCCTGCAGGTTTGTGTTGTATACACCAAAAAACATTTGAACACATTTGTATGTATCATGATTTAAGGTTTGGACATAATTAATATCGACCCATCACTATGCGTATCAATAAATTAATGGTTTGATGTTCCTTAATTAGCTTGCAATTTCGTGATGTCAAACACAATGCATATTTTGACGTATCGCTTTGTGAAATTTGGCGGGTTTTGCTCATTCGCTTCCTAAAATCCAAGAGGTCTCCCCTCTATAAAATCAGACTTCACTTCATCCCAACCATATTACTAACCAACTTCCTTCCTTCCTTCCTTCCTTCCTTCCATCACAAAGAACACAAACACAAGGACATACGTAGGAGAAATATTCAAGAAATTAAGATGGGGGCTAAAACCATGAATATGATCCTTGCTATAGCAGTTGCAGTGTTCATGCTACATGGAACAGACGCTGCAGAATACACAGTAGGAGACGGCCTGGGTTGGACCATTCCACCGGGTGGCGCCGCCACGTATGCTGCATGGGCTGCCGAGCATAGCTTGGTAGTAAACGACTTTCTAAGTGAGCTATACTTTTCCTTTTATTACTTGTTCTTTTTGTTTTTGAGTGTTGTTGGCATATAGCATGGCATGGCATGCATATCGCTAATTAATCTATATGGTTTTGTTTGTGCACTGCACAGTCTTTAACTTTGCCGTAGGAGAACAAGACTTGGCTTTGGTGACCAAGGAGGATTTTGATGCGTGCAACACCGCGGAACCCTTAATTGTGTTCAAAGAACCAGGAGAATTTCAATTTCTAAAAGAGGGCACGTTCTATTTGACCTGCACCTTCGCCGGCCATTGCGCCAAAGGCCAAAAGATTGCCCTTTACTTCGCTCCCACTGCATCTCCAAGTCCAGCTCCAAGTCCAAGTCAAAGCGCTGATGATGCTGATGAACAATATGCTGCCACAGTCAAATTTGTGTCCAAGAAAGAATATGGCTTCAAGAAAATAATACCTGCAGCGATCAAATCTCTCTAGATATAATTCTTTGCTAGCTAGCTAGTATTTGCCCACAGGACCTTATGAATAACTAGACGCACTTTCTACTATTATATGTATGTAGTGTTTGATCAGAAACCTAATAATAACATTTGAACTTTCTTTAAGTCCACTCTTGGTTTTTTTTTTTTGCCCCGGTTTTTTTTATGCCATTAAAACTGCATGCCTGTTTTTTTTCAAGAATGGCTTAATTAGGCCCGTTCGTTATCGTTTTTGGGAGTCCATTTTCATTTTCCGTTTTTCACCGAAAACGCGTTCGGTGCTATGTTTTTGCAAAACGTAGAAATAGACTTCCGAAATGAATCCAAACCTTATGCACAAAAGTGGAAAACAACTTGTTGTTTTCTGTGAAAACGAAAACATGAATTCTCATCTCACTTCACTCTCGACTCAAAACTGAAAGCTCTCTATCCTCTGTCATCTCTGCTATCTCGTCAACCTCTTTGTCTCACTGCGATACGCCATCTCTCTGCTCCTCTCTGTCCTCACCGCAATCTCTCTGCTCCTCACTGTCCTCACCACCATCTCTCTATTCCTCTCTGTCCTCACCGCCACCTTTGTGTTTGAAACCTTCTCTGTGTGGGAGGATGAGGTTAATAAAGCAAGATGACCCAAAAAAAAAAAAACATGAATTCAACTTTGGGTCTGAGTCATACTTTGGCTTCGGGGACTTTATTTTTATTTTTTATCAGGATGGCTTTTGGGGGACTTTGGGTACCAAGAAATGAAGGTGGGGGGTTTTGGGCGGTGGGTGGGGGAGGGCTCTATGCTAGAGCCCCTCTGGGGTTGTGGGTAAGGGAGAGAGTGTGAGACAGTGAGAGTATGTAGCTCAGACAGAGAAGGGGGTTTTGGGTCGGTGAGAGAGAGAGAATGGTGCAGTGGGGTTGTGTTTCTTTTTTTTTTTTCTTTTAAATAGATCTTTTGTTTTTTATCTGATTTATTAACTTTATAAATCAATTAGAATGTTCGTGAAATTTTATTATTGTTTTAATTATTTCTTTTAGAAAAGACATTAGCAAAAATATACTTTAAAAATAACTCATCTTAAATTGTACTACTAGACACGATTTCATTGTTTTTATTTTATGAATCTGTTTTCCAATTAATATATCAGACGTATTCTTGAATTCTGAAAAATTCGTTTCATCATTTTTATTCTCTGAAAACGTTACCAGACGGGTCCTATGAATTCTGAAGATGTTAATTGCAAATAGAGGGCACTTTTTATGTTTTGCATCGGTTTGGCTGCTTCCATTTTATGTCGTGGAAGCTGTACGACGAAGAATCGTATCAAAGGAATTAAAAATTGTACATACTATACTAGTATGAAATCACTTTTGTGGTTTCAATTTCTAAAAACTAGCAAAAATAAATGAATAATACTTGTGCAAATTATGTGTGTGAATAAGGGAGACATTGGTTCCTTTGTAACCAAGTCAAGTTTTTTGTGTTGGACAATCAGCCAAGGTTGCCCAAGGCCTGCAGGTTAGTGTTTTGTAGAATTTAAATTAACTACAAACAAAACAAAGGTTAAAATCCTATTACCCAGCTTGTCGGATTGCAAAACTTTAGTTACGTTTTCTTGGACATAATTAGTACCGAACCCATAACAACCCAGTTTGTCAGATTGCAATTGAAACTTGGATATTTGTACAATCAATCAATATCCTCTAGTTTAATTTAATTTGATCTCAATGCCGATAACATAACAAAGCATATCTGTGCCTCTCTATATATACATATGCTATGCATAAACTTCAGAAAGCAAGGCATTGTACTTCCTTCCGGACCTAAACAACTGGCTTTTTATATAATATATATATATATATATATATATATATACGAGGAACAAGGACGAGAAAGATGGTCAAAAGTTCCATGAATAATGGGAATCTGATGGTTTTTGCTGTAGCAGTAGCAGCAGCAGCAGCATCAATGGTGTTACAGACAACAGAAGCAGCAGAGTATGTTGTAGGAGACGACTTGGGTTGGACTGTCCCTCCGAATGGCGCTGCCACTTACGTTGAATGGGCTTCCAAATATAACTTCCTAGTTAACGACATTCTAGGTAATAATATTAATCAATTCTCTCCATTTACATTTTTATTTATTTATTTTTTTCCATTTAGCTAATTTAATTACATGATGATGATGATTGATGCATGCAGACTTCAAGTTTGCACAAGGAGAACACGACGTGACATTGGTAACCAAGGAGAACTTTGAGATTTGCAACTCCACAGATCCCTTATTTCAACTCCAGAAACCAGCGAGCTTTCAATTTCTTTCGGCAGACACATTTTATATCATCTGCAGCTTTGCTGGCCACTGTGCCCAAGGCCAAAAGGTAGCCGTTACTTTTGCTCCCTCTGCAAGTCCAAGCCCTAGTCCAAGTCCAAGTAGTGCTGACGCTCCTCCTGCTGCATCCCTGCCCCTCAAATTTGTGCTGTCTAGAAAAGTTGGGTTCAGGAAAGTTTGATATGTAACCTTAATTAATTAAATATTTAATAGTGCTAAACCTAATTCGGTGTGACGTATGTAGTCATGTATCAAAGTTCTTTACCAGCTATAATGGATGTACAATGATGAATTTCTGATTAGCAATGTGTGATACCTTCCAGTTGTAATTTGCATCTGCTGATAGATACAATCATAATTAATCATAACGTTTAGCCAACATCTACCAGAATGGACCAGAAAATAAGGGAACTGATGATTGACTTAATTAGCAAACTCCACAAAAATTTATTGTCCAGCACATATTGGT